ATGTTAAAAGTGAGAACATTAAAAAATCTGTTGCTTCAAAATTTCAAATACCATAAAATATAATTTCCAGGTTGTGGAAAAAATACAACACAGTGTCGGTATATTTGAAAAGCAACTCGATCACTATCTGCGCTAGCCGTTCCTAATTTAGCAGTGTAAGACTAGAGGGAAGGCAGCTAGTCATCACCACTCAACGCCAACCCTTGGGCTATTATTTACAAACGAATAGAGAGATTGTCCGTCATATTATAACACCCCCTCTCCTCCTCCGGTTGAAAGAACGAGCATGTTCAGTGACAAAATTCGAACCCGCGATAAACAGATTGCGAGTTGAATACCCTAACCACCAGGCTGTACCATGCCACCAACATTGTCGGTAAATATAACAAACACCAGAGGTCATTACAATCTAGCTCCATACAATCTCTATGTCGATGCTGTGAAACTCCACAGATACCTCTTTCAAGATATTGAGGTTCAAGTCACGCCACAAATGGGTTACGTCAAGCCAGTCTGAGACCTTCTCGTCTTGCCGTTAAAACAAGACTGTTGCGGTGTCGGAGTATATACGTCAGTAGCTTTCAGTTCTCTTGAAATCTTACCTTTCCTGGTGGTGTTTGTCATTTTGTGGAGACAGGCAGGAGAGCATTAAGCCTGACTGCTTGGAAGATGACTCTGACAGATTTGGCGTGGCTGTTTAGTGACTTAGGTAGATATCAGCTTGAACGTTCGTGCTGATCTGTAAATCATTAGAAACAGAGCTCTGTATGCTTTACGTTATCAGAGCAAACCCCCGGCAACATTTGTCAGGCCTTTTGTTTGTGCTATTAAACCTGTGTCTATTTTAGGAGCCATAATGCTCGTTTCTGCCATACAGTTGTCATCAGTACTAACCTCGAGTACGGACAGAATTATTGTGATAATAGAACGACCTGCTTTTTTATCTGGATTTCAGTCTCATAGAGGACAACTAGGATCTACTTCAAAGATGAATGTCTGGTCTGCTGGACCCACTGGATTATTGAAACAACTGGGAATAGTCTTGATGAAAGAATGGGGAATATTATACAGAGTTCCATCCCAAAAGTCATAGAGGGAACTAAATTACATTATAAAACTATCTCAACCGCTAGGGGTCAACATATTCACTGTTACGATTTTGAGAACTCTAACGTTCGACTTTACTGAGATGGCGTTGCTGTAGACCTACCCAGACTAGAAATAGTGACGTTTTGGGGACCATTGCAGAGGCGTCGTAATATTCGGGGCTCGCGCCCATAGGCGCGGGAATTTTCGGCGTTTCAGTATGCTATCGATCATGGCTTTCGATTCTGATTTTTCGAGAGACCAACTGGGGATTCGGGGCACGGGCCCTGTGTGTTAATGCCTAGCGTTACCATTGTGAAGTAATTCAATATTGAAAGTTTTATATTTTGTAATTTTGCCGTAAATAAGCAATACAGTTCACGTTTATAAGTAGTTTGTGAGGTCTTATTTAAGTACTTGCAAAACACATGTTAATAATTTGTTGAACCCTAATCAGTTTTGTCCGGTACAACAGCAATGAATGTTTGAAGATTTTGTTCTTTAAATATTAAAATCAATATTATTTTAGTTATTTTTTTATCATAATGGTTGGGCGCTCGACTCGCAATCTGAGGGTCGCGGGTTCGAATCCCCGTCACTGAATATCCTTGCCCTTTTAGCTCTGGGGGCGTTATAATGTGACGGTCAATTCGTTGACAAAAGAGTAGCCCAAGAGTTGGCGGTGGGTGGTGCCGACAAGCTGCCTTTCCTCTTGTCTTACACTGCTAAATTAGATATGGCTAGCCCAGATAGCCCTCGTGTAGCTTTGCGCGAAATTCAAAAACAAACAAACCTTTGCTCCATGTTTGTTCTTCTTAGTATGAAAACACTTTTTTATTTAATTTGAATTTTTTTGTTTTTTAAGTCTCCGATTTTAGATTTAATCCTCATCGAGTTGTTTTCTTCGCCTTGTTTGTGAGTTAACCATGAGACGTTTACAAAAGTATTTGTTATTTTGGGTTCTTGTTATCTGTTCTTATGAACTCAAATATAAAATTACTTCATGCATTTGACACGTATTTGCTGTTTCTGTTTCTAATATAAAATAACTTTTTATTTAAGTCTCAGTTCCTTAAAAACCACCAAAGAAATATTTATTTAATATTTGAAGATTTCATTGTATTCCTAAATCACTACCGGCACAGCTGTATGTCAGCGGACTTACAATGCTAGAAACTGTGGTGGGCAGAGCACAGATTGTGTAGCTTTGTGCTTAACTTTAAACAAACAAATCCTAAACAACTAATGGGAAAATTTGTATTAACATGATTCATTAACGAAACCAAAAAATCTTTACATTATATATTATACCGTAGGAAACCTTTATTTTGAACAATAGACTAGGAGAGAAATGATTTCTTTACCTTAATGTTAAAACTGTATAACAAGAAAAGAAAGATAGAATTACAAAATAAGTATATTTTCATAGGAAATATTTACGACAGAAACGCTACCTTACGGTTATAATGAAAAGGTAGAAAGAAGAAACGTAACTTTATAGAATCTTTTGAGGAGAGAGTCACTTCATTACACGATAAAAATTAACAAAAACAACATTAATTTGCGATATACAAAACAGATGACGAAGAAAAAGTTCCTTTTATAGCTAACTAAAAAAATTACTAGGTAGATTGATAAATTAATTAAATTTCCACTTTTGTAGGCTTCACACTAAGTTTGATAAAGAACAACGGTCAGATGGAAGAGGTTAACATCTCAGGTGACCAGAACACCTATACCTTCAGTGACCTAAGTTGTGGCTCTCAGTACCAGGTTTTCTTAGTTGCTTTTAACTCAGCCGGAAAGGGAGAGCCTTGTGACACAGTCCACACCAAGACCTTGGGTGGAGGTAAGAAGGAGAGAGAAATTTCTAAATGTTAATTAACATAATAAATAAATATTTTATTATCTGCCTTTTTTTTAAATAATGCTTCTTCGTTGAAGAAAATTTCAAATGGTAAAAGGATAATGAGATAAATCGTTCTTCAAAATTACTTCTTTATTTAAAGAACGTTATTTACTGACACGACTGTTTGTTATAGGCACATTTAGTGTTTCCATCCCTCGTCAACATTGTGTTTCGTTTTTTCATTGTACAAGATATATAAAACGAGAGAGAGAGAACGATCTCTCGTAGCATTTCTACAAAAACGACGCGATTACTTTTTGTCTTGCGTATTTTTTGTCGTTGTTTTTTAAATTATTGTTTATTTATTTCACAGCAGTATCAAAAAACACTAAATAATATGCGCACAGTCCATCAGTATTGTGTTTTTAGAATGTACTGTTGGCAGTATATTTGACTTCAGCATTATTTTGTTATTTCTAACCACCCGCAGTAGTGTGTTGTCTGTCAGTCAGTCAGTATACACTAAATTGACGTCACATAAGGAAAGCTTAATTAGTAAACGTTGCAATTTTTACTGTTGTGACGTCACTAAAACGTGCACATGCCATGAATCATGAGAAGAATTATGCACCGTATAGGCTACAACACAGAATGACATATGAGCCTCAAAAGCAAGAAATATAACTATTCGTTACTCTTAATTTTGGTTTTGTTTATTCTTGAAACAGTACTCTTTCGGAGAGCTTGCAGAAGTACATCTAGTAAAAGCTTACTTTTTTCATTTAAAGGATGTATATACTGACAAGAGTCTCTGGCTTAATTCTTATTTTCAACTTTTAAAAATACCCATGAAGGTATTTCAGCACCAGTAGTAGCCCTCTTTTCTTTTTTTTAGCCTAAAGCTGAGAGGGTTTTAACATGCAAGTAATTGCAAAACTATTACAATTAACAGCAATATATATTGGACATAACGTAGCTGGCTAAGAAGCTTTGACAAATTCCAGCGACATCTGATAGCTTAGAGAGAACGAATGTGTAAAACGAATTAAGAATTTTTAATCTGAATGTCATATTATGCTACACATGGCTAAACAAAAAGATTAGATATCCAAGTTTCAGGCATAGCCATATATAAATGAAAGCTGTTGACCAAAAGGGTACAATAGATCAGAAGCACCTGCCGCCGACACGACTTTATTTAACCGAATAACGGTGCTAGCTTTAAAGTTATAGATACTCCACAGCTGAAAGTTCAGAGCACATTGAACGGCATATTATGACTCGAACCTTGGACCTTTAGGAACGCAGCCCAGCGTGGTAAAAACTAGCTTTATGTGTAAAAAAAGAAATGCAATAGAAATCAATCTTCAATTTTTTAAGCTCGTAATGGATTCTTTGATTGATTACTAACTTCTTGCGAAGTTCCTTTCTTTCTGTTCATTCTCAATTTCAAAGCTTTTCGTCAAATATTTATGCTCCAGTCTCTCTCCTTGCAGCTCCAGTGGCTCCCAGTAACAGTTTAGCACTGTCATACAACGTCACTTCCGTAACCGTTAATTTGGAATCTTGGGAGGACGGTGGATGTCCGTTACTTTCGTACCAAGTACGTTATAGACGCCAAGACGCTCAACATTGGAAACTGATAGCAACTGAGCTTCCCGCCAATAAAAAGAAATTCTTGGATATCCACGGATTGGCAAGAGGAATGTGGTATCGGTTACAGGTTACAGGAAGAAATATAGCTGGAAAAACAGAAGCGGAATATGTTTTCCGTACTCTTGTCACCCCAGAAGGTATCCGTGTTAATCTCGCTTGAATTCGGTATTTTTTACTTTCGTTAGGGTAGAATGTAGTAACACGTAAATTCTGTACTCTCGTCACCCCAGAAGGTATCCGTGTTAATCTCGCTTGAATTCGGTATTTTTTACTTTCGTTAGGGTAGAATGTAGTAACACGTAAATTCTGTACTCTCGTCACCCCAGAAGGTATCCGTATTAATCTCGCTTGAATTCGGTATTTTTTACTTTCGTTAGGGTAGAATGTAGTAACACGTAAATTCTGTACTCTCGTCACCCCAGAAGGTATCCGTATTAATCTCAGTTGAATTCGGTATTTTTTACTTTCGTTAGGGTAGAATGTAGTAACACGTAAATTCTGTACTCTCGTCACCCCAGAAAGTATCCGTATTAATCTCGCTTGAATTCGGTATTTTTTACTTTCGTTAGGGTAGAATGTAGTAACACGTAAATTCTGTACTCTCGTGACTCTAAAAAGCGCACTGAGTTTGTTTTTTTAAATTATTTTAGATGACTAGTGTCCTGTACTTTCGTCCCATCAAAAAGTTATTATTACCATATGTTCTTGTTACTAGAAGTGATGTTTCGTATCTTTACCTTGGAAGTTAGGGTACAATTTTCATCACTTTAAAATTTAGTATACTTGCTGTATAATCGTCACTCTAGAAAATGATGTATCTTACGTAAACTCTGAATATCAGATGTCTGTATTCTCATTACATTAGAGGAAAATCAATGGTGCTGTGGTGTTTTTTTTGTTTTTTTTTGAGTGCCTGTTAATTTCATTCTAAAAAAAAACTTTGAAATTTGGTTCCATCACAGCAAAATATAAACAAAACAGTCAATAGAAATAATTCGAATGAGAAATCAAATAGCATGGTAGCAGTGACAAGATAGGAAAAGGAACTTCTGTTGAAAACGATAAATTTCTAGTCACTACAGAATAGTATATTGAAACATTGTAATTATTATTATTTTTTTTTGACCAGCTCCATACAATATCAAGCCTAACACTGCGCTTTCCAGAAGCTCTACACCTTTCTACTTGGACCTAAATATCATGATACCTGTCGCTGTGTCAGTTTTTGTCATTATAATTGTTCTAATTGTCCTCTGTCTGGTCATCAGGAAGAAAACTTCAAACAGCTCACACACGGGTTAGTATAATCACACTAATTTCTTATTACAGATCTTTTAGGTTTAGGCTTTGTATAAATTGTCACAAGGACGGCAAATGCTTGTGTGATGCAAACTGTTCCTAAAGTACACTTTCAGTTTCGAAAAGGTATAACGTGTTTAGTATTTTAAAATAGTTATTATCAAGGCGAGATTAAGGTTTAGTGGGGTCCTAGATCCAGGTAATATTTCGAAATAATAATAACTCACTCTTGCCTCTGTTTTACTAGTTTTATGAACCATAATTGTTTCACTTGGGTGGTCGGTGGGGCCCTATACTGCCGTGGACCTAGGCCCGGGCTTAGATTGCCTATGCGTTAATCCGGTACTGACTATTATTGTTATTTATTTCACAAAATCTGTTATCTTTATTATTTTGGCCGTGAAAAAGGTTCTAAATATATAAAGACGTTTGATTTTTGTATCGTTATTACCTGAATGGCCCCTTTTTACAAATTATGTTAAGTTATTAACGTGTGTGGAATTATTATTTCAACACTTCTCCACACATGTTTTTCCGAATTGATATTTTACCTCAATATATATGTATGTGGTGTGGGTTAACATTTTTTTACTGTATGTTAATATCATAATCTTCTGGCCACCTGGTGGTAATAAGGGTGAACTAATTACAGTATATATTGCCTTCTTTGATTTTATAAGCTCACAGATCAATATATTAACAATTATAAAAAAAAATATATCCTGAAATTCCTTTTCTGAAACCTGTGTTCTGTATTTTTACGTATATTTCAAAGTAATACTTTCGGTTATTTATACAAGACATATTAAAACCCTTTTTATCTATTAAAAAACATAAACGTTAATTAAGCCTAGTGTCTTGTAAATACTTATGATAGATTTACCCTAAAGTTTTCTGTATCTTTTTTTTACCGTTAGGTCTCTCGTATTTCCTCTAATGTATACTGTTTGTACACAATATGATTTGTTTTCATTAAACTTATCTAGTTTAATTATTATCGATTTGTTACCACTGTATTATAATACTTCATTAGAAACTTATACAACTTACAATATTTTTAAAATATATATATTCTGACAATATATTCCTGATAAATGAACAGGTAGTTATGTATATGGCGTGGCGAAAGGACCTGCGCATGCAACTTTGCGCATGACCGATTATGAAAAAAAATCTGGAAAAAAGAAAAAGAAGAAAAAGAAGGCTAATGGAGTCTACTACCCTACTCCTTATGCTACAACACAACTTACAGGAGAAGATTTAGAAAAATCACGAACCGAAGAATTTCCTCAGGTGGCGCTTTTGTTTCACTATAATATTCATAATACGAATCCATAGCTTTACAATCACGGACTCAACTATAAAATAAATAATTTTAGGTAAAACGTTTGTTTTTGTTCTTTTTCTGTTAAGTATAAAGCTCCACAATGGGATATCTGTGCTCTGCCCCGCCGGTATCGAAACCTGATTATTAACGTTATAAGACCTCAGACTTGCCGCTGAGACACCAGAGGGATAGGCAGATACGCAGTCAAGAGGGGTCCCAAGGGGGGCCGCCCTCCCGAAAAAACTAACCATATTGATCACATATTATTTTTCAGCTTTTATATCTATAACAAACTCGTTTTTTATAATTTATTTAAAAAAAATAAAACGTCTATAAACACTATTACATTTGAGTTGATTTGTTTAAATGACCATTTTATTAAAAATTTAGATCAAGTTCAGATTTTTAATTTATTGGCCCCCCTTAAAATCCCCCCCCCGAGTAGAAAACCTGGCTATGCTATTGGGGCTAGGTAAGAAGTAAAACTGTGTATAAAACATAAATACGTTTTCAATATATTTGAAGTGAAAATGTAACTAACAGGTATCAGGATTTACAAAAAATGCAGTAATCAATTTTGGGTTTTAGCTAAGTTTGGTAACAATCTCTTCCAAAATAGCTGTTTTCTAGTTTTTTGCTTTCCTTTAATAGCAAATGTAGGTACATTCTCGGTTTGGTAACCATTGTTAAACGTTTGTTTAGTTATGGTTGGAATACAGAACATTTTTATTTTGAGTTATCTTTTAATATTTCGTATTCTAAACTATGTATTTAATTTAGACGTATTGTTATTTGGCCAGCGGGAGGTTTGTTGCTAAGCGCGTGGCTTAGAGTTTGGAATTTTCTCGAACTTTTCACATAGTATTGGTAGTAGAAAAAAGCGAATTTTGCTAGAGTAGATGATGATGGGATATTGTATTAGTCAGTACATTTAATCAATGAACTCAGTGAATTAAGAGTGTGTTTCTTACCCAGTGAATAAGTCCTTAACTTATATAAGCTACTCTGAGACAATCACAACAACAGAAATTGAACTTACAGTGATGTAAAGTGGACAGTTATTATACAACCAACGAAAGACTCATACCAGGACTTACTAGGGACAACTTTAGATTTAGTGACTGAATCATCGTAGCACCAAACACTCCATCTTCTGATTAGCAAAACTCTTGTGAATCTGAAGAATAAGGTGTCATCATTAAGGAAATGAAATCCAACTTAATTCTGAACAGAATATTGCAAGATGTGTAGTTGTACAAGTAGTATTTCCACACTAAAGAACATCAAAAGTTACCTTAGAAACAAGATGTATGAAATCTGATATTAAACCTTCAAATAAAGAGAATTCAGTTCACTTACAGGATCTGTATGATTGGAACTGTGAATGTCTTACAGCTAACCAACACAACAGATTACACAACTTACTCATAGAATATCAAGATTTCTTCTCCAGTGGGCCTTATGATTTAGGCTAGACAATATAATGATATATATATATGTATCATAAGATTTATACTGGAGATGCAGTCCCAATACTTTAATTTTCTACAGTACTTCTTTTCTGCGAATCAGGCTGAGGTTTGCGAAGAAAGATAAACCATGAAAGGACAAAGGAAGAAGTAAATGAACCGAATGCTACTCCTTGGGCATCAGCTATTGAAGTTGTAAGGAAGAAGAACGGATCCGCAAGATAATTAAAGTCATAAATAAGAATGACTAACTGCCATTGCTAAGGATTGAAAATACTATGTTGATTCATCCAGATCGAAACACTTTCAACATTAGATCTAAATAGTGTATACTGGGAAGTACGATCAGTAAAAGACAACTTTCTGCAAGAAATGGGAAGTGGCAATGTATAATGTTACCGCTTAAGTTATGTAATGACCATCCTACATTTGAATGACTAATAGGATATGATCTCTTTGCACTGCCATAGAATGTCGTATTAATCTACTTAGATGACATAATCCTACGTGGAAAAACCTTCAATGATGTTTGTGATTGACTAACAAAATTACTGGATCAGTTGAGCTTAAGCAAAATATGAGAAAGTGTGAATAGTTCCATTGACAGATGAGATCCCTAGGATACACAATTTGATTCAATCTCTTCAGAGTTGATCGACATCATTAAACTTGCATGAGGTAAGATGATTCCTCGTGTTGTGCTCCTACTATCATCTTTCATATAATCATAGCTTGTCTTCTACACGAACTTCCTAAAAAACGAATAAGTTTTGATGGACTGTTGATTGTGAATAAACATTTAAAAAACCGAAAACAGAACTAACCCCTACTCCTGTGTTTGCATACCCAACTTTTAAAGACCCACGAGAAAGAACATGTGATCATCTACTTTAGTAAGGTAATGACTTCTACAGAAAGGAGCTATTGTACAATTTCAAAAATACTATTTGGTTCAGGCATAGTAAATGAGTAAAGAAATAATATTTTATTTTGTTAATCAAGTTTTCGATTGTACTTTATATCACGTATTTAATAAAGATTTAATGATTATAATGTTTATACTTATTAACATTAATATTGTTAATTGTCAAGGGTTATCTTATTGTTTATTACAGCAGTTTAGGTTTGATGGGTCGTTGTTTTCTGTGTGTAATACAATTATTCAATGGATTTCACAATCCAGGGAGAGGACAGTGTCGCAGGCTGTTTTTTTAAATTTATACATTTGTTTGTTTTTTATTGGAAGAATTTTTGAAAGTTGAGGAAACGATTTGTGCAATGTAAAAACGCGAGTTAGGCTAGAGTAGATGAATGATTGTTGAGTTAGCGATTTTGTTAGTCAGTTTCTCAGTCACTATCAGTTAGTAGGTTATTTCAGTTTTGTTGTTATTGAGCTTGTGTTTGACAAAGAAATAGATATCTTTTTAACGAATAATCGAAAGAACCTTCCAAACAATATAAACAACAGTAGATAGATATATTACCTTCTCTCCTCCAGCCTCAAGAGGAGCCTTTGTATGCTACTGTTAAGAGAACACCCCGACCCCCAAGATCAGATGCTCACATCTACCAGTCCCCTGGTGAGTATTTAATCGATAACACAATATATCAGTAGAAATCTATACAATAAAATAGCAGTGAGAACTGGGGAATTTTATTAGCTTTATAAGCACCTTAGCTAGTTTTCTTATAGACAGCTGGAACTCATCGCCACTAAGTATCATCTAAATTATCATTTGTTATTTATTATTGGTTAATGTTAGTTATCATTAATGTGGCAACTGACCAATGGCTTGACAGAATCAAATCAGTGGTCAGTAACACGTTTGTAATTAACTATAAACAACTACACTCGGTGTTGTCAGTGGCTTCATTGAGCTAGTATCAGTTGATTTCTTACTTATTATTCTATGTTTTATCATTTATAAGTAACTATTTTTGTTAGATGCCAGTTACTAAATGTTTATCATTAGTTCTCAGAGAGTTAGCATGCTAAGATTAGATAAGAGTGACTTCCCCCAATTGAACTTACGGTAACTATGAATGATAATCCTTAACTATAACCAGTTTTAGATTAGTATTTTTATCGTTTATTTTCAGTTATCACTATAACTTGTCTCACCGATCATCAGTTGCTAGTGACAACCATCATTTAACACTGATTGCTATAATTATAAAGTTTTATCAGTTATCAGTTAATCAATGACTATTGTCAGATATTAGTTGCCAGTGACAACCGGCAGGTAACATTAATAGCTATAATCTTACAAAAACATTTTTGTTTTCTATTGTAACATAAATATGTAATTGAAATAAGTTGATAATTTGTATATATTTAACATGTATGAAATCTTATGTTTTTTTCCTTCGTAATTTATTGCCTTTAAACACAGTAACAATTTTGTAATGTGCGCAGTGCCTTCGTTGTCAGAAATGGACCAGCTAACGCCTTCTCCTTCGCCGACTACATGCAAGAGATCTGGAATGACGGTGAAGTTAAGTACTACTTCAGACCCAAAATACAGCGGTGAGTACGTAGTTGAGGATCTTGTAAAGTACTTTAACAGCTTAGACTTAAAATACAACAGCACATTTGTAGCTCACAAATCTTTTAGTGAAAGCATTTTAACAGCTTAGACCCAAAATACAACAGCACATTTGTAGCTCACAAATCTTTTAGTGAAAGCATTTTAACAGCTTAG